AATTTTATTAGCTTCTTGTGTTTAGTGCCCCAAGAAGCAAAAACATCCCATCTGGTGCAGGGAGCAGGATATGACACATATGTTCATGATGCACACAAACTGGTGAGTTGACACACTGAAAACAAAAAACTAAATAAAAGCCAGTGTTTTTATGTTTCATACTCCTGTCATGTGTGTTACTGTGTAGTTTTACCTCATGCAATAAGTCAAGCCAAATGTACAGCAACTGTCAGCTGTGAGCAAAAACAGTTTTTTCGGTTTGGTTTTCAAATATTCTGACACTGAAACTGTCCTCTCTTTCTCTCATTAGTTAAAAGAATGTATTGCTCTTTCACGGGACTGGAACTGGCCAGATTCTGCCAAAACCACTGAAACCAACCCAGCTACAGACTTCTATGAAGGGCGCTTCCTGCAAATCCTGTTTGACCGGATTGGACGCATACTAGAGCAGGTAGAGTAGTAGACCAAAACAGATTTTCATTTGATCTTGTCTTCATTTTGCTTTCAGCATTGCATGCAGAATGGTAAAACGTGCAAAACTTTTTGTCAGGATAGATGGCTGAAGTGCATTCAAAAAGTTTGATAGCTTATCTTAATACTTCATAGGACCTGTAAATGAAATGTATAATCAATGAATTTGAAAAATTTTAGTTAATTTAGTTTAAAAAAAGAAATCTTTACAGTGAAATCTTTTTCTTTCACTGTATTTCTCAATTTGTTTCCCTCTGCCAGCCGTATGAGCTGAATCTTCAGGTGACGTCAGTTCTGTCCAAGTTAGCTGTGCTTCCTCACCCTCACCTGCACGAGTACCTGCTGGACCCGTACATCAGCCTGAGCCCTGAAGCGCGATCGCTCTTCTCCACTCTAGTCAGGGTGAGAACAGTGTAAAAAGCTGCCAGTGTGTGAGAGAAATACTCGTGTTGTTGTGAATGAAAGCTGGTTGGCCGATGTGTCAGCTGCAGACTTTGTGAACAGCAGCCCTGTCTGCCTCATTTATCAGGAAAACAAGAGCATTGTGTTTTCCTGCAGGTGATCGGGGATTTAATGCAGAGGATTCAACACATCCACAATGTGACAGACAAACTGATGATGATCAGGAGACAGCTGATGGGACTGGAGGAGGAGACAATGTAAGACTTTCACAACAAACTCATGCAGAACATGCCTCTTGATGCTAGGAGACACTTGACAAATGTAAACAATGTGTTCTAAAATCAGCTCAAAATTGTAAACAGGTTAGATATTCTCCAAATGTGCCCACATACACTTCAAAATTTTCTTTGAAATCTGTCAACTCAAATCTGCAGACTGGCTCTGACTTTTGGCAACTACAGGGCTTCAAAGTCGCAGCCCTGGTGAATGGAGAAGCGCGACACGTTGAAAAAGCTGCGAGGCGCAATGGTCAAATATGTCCATCTAGCGCATATTTACATAGAAAAACGAATTAAAAAGCAGCGGAGCTTTGTAAACAGCTCAGAGTAATCATGTCATCTCCTTAAGAACGATATGATTAGCAGAACAAATTTACGCCAGAACAAATTTACCAGGATTTTTGAAAAGGTCCTGTTCACATATGATCTATTAATGGTAACTTACTGGTAATTTACCAGTACTGTTTGTGTGAAAGGGGCTAAACTCTTCCTCTGCATATGCCATGAATTTGAATTGCTTAACATTCATCTGGGAAAACTGTGTGCATTATCTCACTAGATTTGTAACAAATCATTTATAAACCTTTGCCAACACAGGAGAATACATCAGCCTATGTCTAAATATGGCGTTTATTGTACATCGCGATTTCAAAATAAAGGTTTCTGAGTTTGCATGTGGCCAAATATTAAATGGATTTAAACATTGTTTAATCAAGCTGTAAATTGAAACGTCACCAGGCCGTTGGCGCCCTCTGCAGGTATTTGTTATAATACATCATATACTTAAGTCGGTTATGTTCATATTATGTATAGGCATATTACATTATGTATTTTAACAGTGTTGTTCAATAAAACCATGTAATTACTTGGTTTTGATATTTTATTTGAGCCAATTATTATTGCCTCATCGTTTATATATAAATAGTCATGCTAAAGCCTGGTTTTCACTTAGGTCTATTTGTGTTACTAAAAAATATCAGATTACTCAATTGTCAAAATAATCAGTAGATTTCTTGATTAACAAAATAATCATTAGTTACAGCCCTAGATTAGTTCAAATATTTCAAAATACAACTGCATTGTTTTACTTTTTGTAATTAAAAGACAAATATTTTGTCAAAGAAAATTTCTTATTAAAATAGTATTAAAATATTGTCTCGTTCTAGTGAACCAAGTATCTGTATTTTGTCTCATCTCGTGAGCCAAGTGTATTGTCATACCCCTAAGTGTCGATAAGCGCTGATATAGCTCATAATTTTCCAAGTGTATGATATAGCTTTCATTCTTCAGGTCAACCATATATTCATGAAAAAAATCAGTTTGAATAAGGAAAGCAATAACTTTGCCATAGTATCCTTTCAAATGTTAAAGTTGCCACAGTCATTGCATTCTTTGCATGTGCTGACCCATCCCCCCCTGGCCCCGCCCCAGAAAAAAGTTCAGGCTCAGGATTTTTTTTTTTGCTTTAACCCCTGCAACTAGCATTGACTTGTCCATTTGCCAATTGGGGCAAAAATCTGGGTGAATTTTGTGTGGTTTATTCCACCCTTAAATACAACAACATTGTGATGACCATTTTTGGGTGAACTGTTCCACGTTTCCACTTTTATAATGTGGAAATGTCAGACTGACTAAATGTTTTGACTTTTTTTTAATACTTGGGTCTGTTCTCTCTGTCAGGGTGGATCATGTGACCCTGTTGAAGGGTGTGATAGTTCTGGAGGAGTTCTGCAAGGAACTGGCTGCTATAGCATTTGTCAAACTACCCATAGAAGAGCAGTGAACTCATGATGCTGAAACCAAAGACAATACAACGGATCAGCATCCAACAAGATCTGTTGGAGGACTCCATCACTGGGAGAAAGTGGATTTGCACAGAACTGAGTTAAGTGGCAATATTTATAGATATACAAGTCACTTTTGATTAATGTTGTCAGGGAGGAGTCAACCTGTCTGATGGCAGTTTTGCCCAAGATGAAATATAAAAAAAAATTCAGACTGCTGCTACAGGTTTTCACAATGACAATGACTGATGTACGAAGTCGCTTTTTCTCCACAGCTGCACATCTTGCTGTATGATTACATTTCACTTAAAGTGGAAGCAATAGAAAAACATATTTGTCTCTTGCACTTTTTTACTATATTCTATATTTTATAGAAGTTTTAGGCCCAATCAGTCAGTTCCCTCTGTGAATGTTTTTTTTTTTTGCATTCAGATATGCTATTGAAAACCTGATCTCAGATCAGAATTCTTACACTATCAATTTTAGGCAATTGCACATGCCCTCTTCAACTTTTCTTTCTGAAATACAAACTGGAGTTGTTTAAGTATATCATAATGGCGTGTAATGTAATTGTATTTATCTTTAATCTACTTTATAAAGCCTGTGAATAATCAGTGTTGTTTTGTATTTCTGTATGTTATATGGCTGAATCAGAGGGCCAGAGAGGTACACAGATTTGTTTGGTTTGTGTGGTTGTGATTTGCCATTGGCTGGTACTCACAACGGATCTTTATTTTCTACAGAGGTCTGGCAACTGTACGCAATACATGCTTAATTCTGTTATCACAGCAATAAATTAAAATATTCATGCAGATTTCATTGCATCAAATGTCTCTGTGGTCTCAACTCTTTTAAATGCAGTCGTGATACAGAAACTAAATATAGCTTCATGAAAAGTTTTGCTGCACAAGGTAGTTTTGAAGTTGTGAAACAAAAAGTAACTTATGATAATATGAATGTTTCCATGTACTATGTTTACTAAGACAAAACCATCAATATGAGAGTCCACGTGATACTGATTCTGCAACTTTTTTTTTATGTAATTCATAATGTGACCACTTTTTGAATGAAAATTTATAGCAGGAGACTTGATTCTGTTTATTGGGAATTAACTGAATTATGAAGTGTAGTCTCTATGTGACATGTGTTTGGGTGGGAGGAGTTAAAAAAGAAAAAAGAAAAACTTGACATCAGTCAAAAATTAAAGTTACTACATTTTGATTTTTAGGAATGTAAAAGAAAATTCGCTCTGGAATAACATGAAGTGATTAAATGTATAATTAAAATAAATATTGTCAGTATTGATTTATTGGCATATGCCTTGTTTTATGTCAGCTGTGTATAAGAAAAACGCATAACACTGCTTTTGTGGCACCTTCCATTATATCACAAAATATTATTAATGTTAGAAAGAAATAAGAAATCACATTTTAGTATGCAAATGATTGCAAGAAAGGCCTATCGGAATTTCATATGCAAGTATGAGTGATTTAATTATTAATGTAAACATTTCTTCACTTTACACTTGCTAAAACATTCAAAATAGACACCACAGTTCATAAACACCAAAAAACGGAGACCATACTTAAAGGGGTCATATGATGCTATATTAAATATCATTATTTTGTGTATTTGGTGTAACAGAATATGTTGACATGCTTTAATCTTCAAAAAACACATTATTTTTAAAAATACTGTACATTATTGTAGTGCCTCTCTCAAACACGTCATTTTCTACAAAGTCCCTCCTTCCGACAAGTGCAGTCTGCTCTGATTGGCCAGCTGACCCAGTGCATTGTGATTGGCCGAACACCACAAGCACGCGTCGGAAATGTAACGCCCCTTACCATAATCGCGAGCTATTTTAGAAATAGCCTTTGTGCACAGCCAGCCTTGTACTCTTCTAGGTTCACAAAACTGTCGTGCATAAAATGCGTTGCACAAATTCGAACATCTGGGTTGTGCTGTTCTGTTGTAAATAAATCTTAACCAATGATTCCTAATTGCATCTACTTTCGGAAGGCCAAATAAAGTGCTTTTGCTTTCGCAATGAAACACACAGCGTCTCCCTAACATGCTGCTTCAACACTAACTGCGGTTACTGAAACCACGCCTTCTTTCTTTGCTGCACATTTGGGCGGCATTATGCTAATATTTCCACATAGTGACGTAGACATGTGGGGGCGTGTTTGAATGAGCCGTTTTAGCCCAGTCTGGATCAGCCTTCTCTTTTAGATAGAATAAATCATTTTGTGGGAGACTTTGGGCTTTGTAACTCTGCAGATCTCATACATGCACAAATAGCTACATAACACACTAAAGAAAAGGAAAAATAGAAATCGCATCATATGACCCCTTTAATGCCCACATGATACAAACGATATGCCTACACCAACAAACAAAAGTCTGTTCAGCAGGATGGATTCTGATTGGCTGCCAATGTTTTTATCATTAATCAGCTGGAAAAAAAGTTGTTTTGAAAGTGATTAAAATTATGTAATTCTTCTGTGCCATTGTTATAGTTGTGGTGTGGATGCCTCTATTCTTTTAGATTTAGAATTTAAGGTACTAATATGTCCTTTTAAGGGTACTGATCCAGGGACAAGCTGTTGTACCCCAAAAGGTACAATTCTGGCCCCTTATTTTTCTGTGTAGAGCTATATTCCCTGCCTAAGTATGAGAGTCCCTTGTGGAAAAAAAAAACACTTCAGCATACTTTTAAAAGGAGTACCTATTACAGAAATAATATACTTAAGTGTGAACTAAACAATGTTTTGGACACTTTATTGCATATTATCTACATTTTAATTGAACTGTATTATAGTTTAAATAAATAAATAAACTATTTATATGTAACTTCATAATTATATTGTTTCTGAAATAAAGTATACTGCCAAATGTACAACACTCTCAGAAAAAAAATTGGTACAAAAGCTGTCACTGGGGTGGTGCCCTTTCAAAAGGTGCAAAAATAAGGGGAAAATAAGTACAAAAATAAAAATAAGGAGTAAATAAGGTGCTGTCCCAGTGACAGCTTTTGTACCTTTTTTTTTTTTAAATGTGTACTTGACAATATACTTTTTAATGTCGTGCATTTAAATGTATTCGGAATTACACATTTGTTATAAAGTTGCAATTTAGTACATTTAAAATATATGGTCAGGGTTGCATGCTATTGGGAAAAAAATTATAATTTTTTCCAATATATATTGTGATATGAAAATAATATTTTAACAAGATGACTTAAATAGCTCTATTTGTAAAGAATGAATCATTCTGGAATGATTGAGATTATTTTATCGGGAGTGTATCTGCAAAGAAAATATAAAAAAAGAAAGAAAAAAAAAACACTGAGGACTTTGAAGATTTTTTTTTTTTTTACTTTTTGAGTGAAAATCTTTTTAGGGCTGAATGATTTGGGAATAAAATAAAAAAAAGGGTTTACCAACTTAAATCATTACATAAACTGAGTTAAAAAAAAATTATAAAATCTTTCCACTCAAGTTTTCATAGGCCATTTTCCCACAATTCAATATGACTATAAAACATGAATAATTATGACTTTATTGTGAATGTTGTTAAATATATTAAACAAAAAAAAATATTGTAATAATGCTACTGTACTGTAAAATAAAAAACAAGTACTAAAAATAATTTAATTTTACTGTAAAATTACAATACTAATATTAAGTTGTATTTTTCTTCATTTTCAAATGGCATACCATTGAGCTTTTGGTTTGATGGGTTTCCTGCAAATAGCACCTCAGAGGGGCTTAATTCACAGTAAAAGGACCAAGTCTTTCTGAGACACTAAAACACTATCAGTGCCACACTAATTAAATCACAGTCTGCGAAATTTAACAGTCGCACTATGCCATATTGCAATCCTTTTTTTTAAAAATATTGTTTTGCCCTAAAAAATCAGTTCCTGATTCAAACCTGTTTCCTCCGCAAGGAAGACGAAGCGAACCCACTTTGGTCCTTGTTCTTGAACCAGCAGCAGTGTGATTGGCTGGCAGTCTATTTCTGCCTCCTCTTTGACCTCCCTCTGCAGCGCCTCTAGAATGCTTTCACGCTCCTCCAATGCGACCCGCAGGGAGATACCATCTGCCATAACACTCTCTCTTTGCCTCCTGAACCATTAACACCTCATCCTGTATGACGCAAACCAACACACATGCACAAGTTGACAATAACCACAGGTAGTGAAACATTCAGAAATATTGAAAACAGATGAAGTATCTGAATATGTTGATGAGGTATGCATTTTAACATCCGTTTGCATATACAAACGGGAGAGCGGGTAAGATGTGTCAGCTGGTAGGATTTTTCCTTTTTTTTTGGTATACACTTATGTTCATATTTTCAAATGTATCCTGGAAATAAAAAAAAAGACAGATCTTACAACATGGGGATCATGTCAAAGATGACCAATAGGGTTTCTGTTGAATGTTTGGATAGCGATTTTAATTTAAACAGGCTTTTGTGAAGTGTAAGATAAAGCCCCTTTAATGTTATGCCTTGCTACCAAACTATTTTCTGCCAGTGAAAAGAGAGAACTGTCATGCTCCCAGTCAAATTCTACAGCTCATTAGTGGAACTCATTAAGATACATTTAGCTGAGGGCTGTCTGTAATAAACGGACACTGGACAGACTCTAAAAGACAAAGACAATGTCGCCATCTTTACCTTTGAGTTGAAGATAACTGCGCCGACAATGTAACACACGCTTTTCCTCAGTGTGACAGGCTTCACTTGTTCAGGAACTGAATCAAACTCTCTCACCTCCAGTCCCTCACCCTTCAAAATCTTCTCTAGGTTGTCCTCCAATATTTCCGCCATTGAATCCATGCTGGAGCTGCCTTGACTCCACTATACAACATAATGAATACGATTATCAAATAGTGGCTGTTTCAGATACAGTGACTGCCTACAGAGACAGCATGTTTAGACACTTAAGAACCAAAGCCTGGTGCATTGAAGAACCTTTTAAAGTCCCACAAAACAATGTTCTTTTTTTATTTCTTTATTAATCTAAGTAAAGAAATCACAGACAAATACACTGATCTGCTGTTGGATTCCATAACTGGGGTTATAAGCATATTTGGAATTATAATCTTACAAAACACGGCCATGATAACACACTGGCTTGACCATGCTATCATAATTACCCATGAAGAAATGAAAGTAACCGGGTGTTTACACGGAAAAGTTAGCGACGCAGCATAAACATACCGTGAAACAAGTAAAGTCATCCAAGATAATTAAGCACTGCTATTAAAATCTAATTCATACATGTCCAATCTTTAAAACAACAACAACAGCTACCACATGTATACTAACCTAACACCTCCCGTCATGAAAGAGAAGATAAATATACTGAAAGCAAAGCATAGATGTGACTCAAAGCCTCAGTTGCTGGAACTCTCGCGATAACACGTGACACTCGTTTGAGGGGCCCAGTCAAACTACATTACTTGTAGTTTCGTTTAGTTCCTTAATAGTTCACACTCGTTTTTTCTTTGCTTCCTTGGTGACAATTAATAGATTACCTTGACTTAACTGTAAATAAACAATAGTTGTTTCAAACGTTGAAAACGTCGCAGTTAAGTTGGATCAGTACAAGAGTTAAATGTATGTGTAGTTTTTAGACTATCCCTAACTAAAAAGCAACAAAAACGGACTAGTGTACTACTTTAAAAGGCGATTTTTGCTTTTCCTTCGCTTAGTACCTACTTTTGCTAGCGGGCGCAAGTAATGAAAGAGCACGCGTGAATGAGTGTTCCGGTAGTTTGTATCGTCACAGCAGGCCGAAGTAAAGGGTTAAAAGGCAAGCTGTCTGGTGGCGCATGCTCGGTGTCGCTCTCTACTAACAGACGGGGCTCATTGGCGATGCGAGTCCGAGCGAATCGCCTTATCCAAAGATTTCCAACGGAGAACTGAAGCAGCACCATTTTCTGCCATACAAACACATCCGGCTGACTCCGTAACAAACTTGTTACACACGGGTAAAGTGTGACAAAATGACCAGGTAGCTGAAATTGTGCGGAATATTTAATTTTCTCCACGGGAACGTTATGTGGAGAGGGCTTATTGCCTTTGCTTGGAGGACAACGCCTGGATAAGGACGAGAGGACAACATTTGACGTTACTTTGGCACGGCAGTTTGTTAGGGCTACTTCACAGACATGGTGAATGCAGTTTGCCGTCGTCTCGCTAAAGGCGCCTTTATGTGGCTGGTGCTCCTCCACGCGCTCGTCGACTGCAGTGGAGGTGAGAGAACACACCGTCGCGAGTCACCTAATGTCCACAACGCTTCACAGTGCTGGCTCTTTGATATAAGCCATTTTTGTTCACTTAAAATAACACTAACGTAGCATATAGGCACCACTATGGCAAGCCGTCTTAACGTGTTCCTTAAAACGAAATAGTAGCTATTATGTTACTAGCACGTTTTAAGTAGTAGCAAGTAATACTTTTTTATAGTTTCATTACTAACTATTCATTTGTTCTAATTACTAGTATCTATTCATTTAGTCAATATTATCTAAGTATTTAATATGCATTCATAACAAATTATCTTTGCCATTGAATTCTATTAGTTGTAGAATCTGTGGTCAGCTGTTCACTTCCAACTGGTGTTGTTTCAGATGTTACTGGCAGCTGTTTTAGATTTACTGTCAACTATTTATTTGCCTACTAGTATCAGTTTCAGTTTACTACACTTGTGTGTTCCAGTTTTTGCTAGTAGCATTTTTTTATTTTATTTTACTAGCACGATTTTTTTTTGCTGTTGTTGTTGTTTAACTGTAAAGTAATAATTCTGAGTTGCTATTACATATAGCCGCATATGAGTTTGGTGATGTGATGCAGAAAACATGGACAGAATCCAGTCATAAACATGGAATTTACAGTATAGTGCGGAATATCTCTGCATTAGGCAAATTTTGAATGAATAACTCAAAAGTAGGGCTGTACTCATCACCAATTGCATATGGACTAGTGTTTATGAATATTAAAGTGCAAAAAGACTGCTATTGAAACTTTAACTTCATGTACTCGGGTTCGCTTCACAAGCATTTCAGCATTTCATTTGATAAAAAGTTTCCGTCATATCGTGCACACACACAAACTCAAAGCTGTCAAAATTTAACATTTAAGAAATTGTGACAGAAATGTGATTTTGATAATAAATTTGTATTAAATGAAAAATCGAAAAAAATAAAATAGTACATAATACATATAATAATGCATTAGTCTTGTTATATCTCAAATACTGGTAAAACTGGAATAAATACCACTAACTATTGGGGTAGTTATTAACAACTAATTACTGGTGTGTAATGAATAGTTACTGGCACAATCACAATAGTTAATTGCCAAAACAGTTAATGGCAAGAGTTAATGCAGTGTTAGCAACAAATGCAGATCCACAGAAGTTGATGACCAAAAATGTGCAGTTAGTGACTAGTAACCATACAACAATATAAAAAAAAAATTACTAATATGTGATGAATATATTCTTGTAACTAATTTAATGGATACTCTTTACTTTTGTAATGAATATTAGTATCAGTTGTATACTTAATACTATACGACCACATATTCTAATGGAAAGATTGTTTAAGCTGGGTGTGAATAGCAGACTCATTAGATGGGTTGAGTCTTTTTTGACCGATAGATTACAGTGTGTTAGGGTGAACTCTGCTTTCTCTTCCTCTATTTTTACCAACACAGGGGCCCCACAGGGAAGTATTATCTCCCCAGTGTTATTTACCCTTTATACAAATAAATGTCGAGGTTTTTCATCTGATGTTTTTAATGCCAAATATGCAGACGATACGGCAATTGTTGGTTTGATCACTGAAGATGAAGTGGAGTATCGTAGAGGTGTGGATGCGTTTGTTGATGGGTGTCAATCTAGTTCCCTTCAGTTAAATATCAGGAAAACTAAAGAAATGATTTTCGACTTCAGAACAAGAAGAGGCACTCATCAACAAATAACTGTTAATGGTGAGGGCATTGAAGTTGTAAGGGAATATAAATATCTAGGGACAATCATTGATGTAAAACTGACATGGGATGTAAATACAGCAGCTGTTTACAAGAAAAGGCTGCAGCGATTGTATTTCATGCGTAAGCTTCGACAGTTTGGTGTGGATACATATGTGTTGGCTCTATTCTATCATACATTTGTGGAGAGTATCTTGACTTTCAGCTTTGTTGCTTGGTATTTCTCACTGTCTGTAGTAAATAAGAACAAACTAAATAAAATTGTTAACATGGCTAGTAAGATTGCAGGTAAACAACAGCATAGTCTGATAAAACTATGTGAATCTCGAGCTGTGAGGAAAAGCCATACAATTCTTCACGATGCATCTCATCCTCTTTGTGGTGAATATGAGTTATTACCATCTGGTCGAAGGTACAGGGTACCATTATTATGGATTGCCCGTGCACAAAGATCTTTTATATCATCCAGTATAGCTCTGTTAAATACATTTTTGTGATTATCACAGTTGTCATTTTACATCTATGGCAGTGATTCTGTTGTTGTGAGAGGGATGCTGTTTGATGCTGGTTGTATTTATTTGTGATGTGTTGTAACCTGTTGATGTTTGTATTTGTTAATTATTGTTGTTGATCACTGAAGAGTTGCCACGGATACAAAAAGAATTTCCGAAAGGAAAATAAACTAAACTAACTAACTAAACTACTTTCGTTAAATGTTAAACTAAATTAACTAACTAAACTACTTTCGTTAAATGTTGAAAAACATGCTAGTCACTGTTGTATTATTTGTGATTAAAACGTTTGCACTAGTAACATAAAAATAAGTGCTATTCAGTTTCAAAGAATGTTAAAAAAGCTTGCCATAGACCTTATGCTCTTTATTTGTTTACATTTACATTTGTTTTAGGTGTAGCGAAATCACTCGCTTTCCAAAAAACATGCACGTTACAAAATTGGTGTTTCTCTGTAGTTTCACTTATAGAGAGATTTTATTTTTATAGGAAACAATATCATGTCTGGTCGTCATATACCCTCATCTCTGCCTCGTCTGGCTGTGAAGGTTTAAGAAGCTTAAGCAGTTCAATAACAGCGTATTTGGGCTAATTCCGAATTTATGGGCGTCTCCTCGCCCTTGAGTCTTACAGGCTCTTACTTTAAGATCAGTATGAAATGCATGCAAGTCATTTCTGCCACTCTTAAGAGCTAATTTGTGGAATCCAGTAGAAGAACATCTCACTGATTATTTAAGTCTTCCATAATTTGAATTAGGACAAGGACATTGTCTTGGTTAAGTGAACTCTCTAAACTGTCAAAATTTGTTAACATTAGTTAATGCTTTAGATAATGAGCGGTATATTTTTACAGAATTTATTAACCTTTGTTAATGTTGGTTAATAATGCCAGTTCACCATTAACAAATGATACAGAAACAACTTTTGATTAATGTATTAGTAAATGTAGAAATGAACATTAGCTAAGATAAATAAATGATGTAGAAGTAAAAAAAATGAATTAAATTAATGCTCATAGTTCATGTTAACTAATGTAGTTAATAACAAATAAAGGGTTACCAAAACAAGTCTTGAGTGACACTTAGCTAGTACAGCAGGAAAATGTAGTAAAAAAAAATGGTAACGCTTTATTTTAAGGACCAGTTCTCACTATTAACTAGTTACTTATTAGCATGCATATTACTAGCATATTGACTGTTTATTAGTACTTAATTCTAGGCACATATTAATGCCTCGTTCTGCATGACCACATACTAGATGCCTTAAAAATGACCCAATACCTAAACTTAACAACTAACTTACTAACTATTAATAAGCTGCAAATTAGGAGTTTATTGAAGGAACACTCTTAGTTAATAGTGAATATGTGTTCCCTATTCTAAAGTGTTACCTACCAACCAACCAACAAATAAATAGATAAATATTAAAATGATTATTCATAGCAACATGTTCGTTTAAAAATATGTCTATATTCATTAAATGTTAAATTTTTTCTAAAAAAAAAAGATTAAAAAAAATCATAGCCCACAATTGTTATCACAAAGAGGTATTTCTACCTGATTTAACCCATAACATTTTTTTTTAGTATATACTAATATATTTAGGTTGATTCAGTGATGTTAAATAATATTTTAGACTCAAATAAAACCAGTTAATTTATACCTTTTTTAGTTTATTAAAATGTGTGTGTGTGTGTGTGTGTGTGTTAATGTACTGTAGTAGCTGAGATTTAAAAAAATCATAGCCCACAATTGTTATCACAAAGAGGTATTTCTACCTGATTTAACCCATAACATTTTTTTTTTAGTATATACTAATATATTTAGGTTGATTCAGTGATGTTAAATAATATTTTAGACTCAAATAAAACCAGTTAATTTATACCTTTTTTAGTTTATT